GGTTCCAAATGCAGTCGTGAAAATGGTGGAAAGCATGACTTCAAACATATGGTGCCTGCATGCTATCCATATAAGATTACGGTCAAGATTCTGCTCCATTATTGTGCAGGCTTCAATGTTCAACCCAGTGTTAGATGAAGTAGTGTCAAAAACCAGTCCCCGAACAAGTTCTTTCAATTTCCAGTCTTTAAGAGCCTTCATGCAAGCATCAGCCTGTTGCTCACCTGTACCTCGATCAATCTTTGGAACGCCCAGCAATTTTTCCACCCCACCACCAGTCACAAGGATGGCAATTCTATCCACTTTTTTTTGACCACCAGTGATATCAGGTAAGAGCTTTCCATCCCAATGCAGAAGAAGTGGATCATCAGGAGAGAAATCAACCTTGTCAGCTGTAGTCACCGCTTCACGAACAGATCGCCTTTTTCTGCGGATTGTGCTGTACGACAATGATAAATCTTTTACCGAGTGACCAAGAGCCTGAGACACTGTTCCAACCACGAAGAGTGCACGGCAATCAGGAATATTAACACGATCAAGAGATGATACAACATTATTTGTTAGAACTTTCATCTTCTTTTTCGTTGAACCACTTGTGCTCAGTGTGCTGGAAGCGGAAGGAGTCTGATATTCATCATCATCCGAGGAACTAGAACTACTTTCACTCACAATGTCAACTGCTGATGAAGAAGAAATGAGTTCTGTTTTTTCCATCAGTTCCGCTTGACTTCTTTGACGCCTCAATTCCATTTTAGTTTCTCGGACTTGTTTCCGTGCCTCCTTAGCTGTTAAATTCCGATCAATTCCTGCCATACTACAACTTAATGAATCTTCTTGCTGCTGACGTAAAAATGCTTTATCTTCATCGTTTTTCATAACTTCTGATGCATTCTTGGTTGAAATATCAAAAAGTTCTTCAAGGTCAGCGTGGAAAATTCCTTCTTTCATTTGACAGCTGTCCAATTTTGATCCTCGGTGTTTTTTCAGCAGCAGATATTCGTCATAAAGTTTTTTTAACTTTCTTTCCACATTGTCAATTCTTTGAGTTGGAATTTTTCCTCTCTCCCATATAACAAGAACTGCTTCAATTGTTGCCCGAATACTTTTTTTCACTTCTTGTTTCTCTTCTATATGATGGAAGAGCAACCTCCGAAGAACATCCCCTCTTGAAGGAAGTCTGGCAGTCGAGTTTGTGTAGGTTTACCAACAAGCCACACCTCAGCAGAAGATCTAGTGGTTGCCATATTATCAATTTCTAAATTATAAATAAATAAACAATGAAAAAACAAATTTGCGAAATTTGAAAAAATCACAAAATTTTACTAATGGTTAATTCATCTTATAAAACATGGAAACCCCTAAAATTGCTTCTTTTAGTCTAATTTTTGGTACACATGATCCTAGGTGATAAAGGAACACAGGCAACCTTGAGGAGAATGTTTTTTGTGACATTTTTTTTTTCTATTACAATCTGAATCACTCTAATATATATATATATATATATATATATATATATATATATATATATATATATATATATATATATATATATATATATATATATATATATATATATATATATATATATATATATATATATATATATATATATATATATTATATATATATATATATATATATATATATATATATATATATATATATATATATATATATATATATATATATATATACAGTTAACTCCTGATATCTCAACGTAGGGACGTAGTTACAGTTACAGTTAGCAAATGTTCGAGCTATCGTGACATTCTATTACACAAACTTTTGCCATTAAGTAAAAACAATTCAAGTTATCAAAAGTTTAATCGGAAATTTTTTCTTTATTTTGATCCATGTTAACAGAGTTTTTTTAGAATGGCATAATTCATAGCAACCTAATAATTTTGACAATCCATTAATTTCCCTTTAAGCAACGTACATTTCTTTAACTGATTTTGTGTTCATTTTTCTCTTTACAGCGACAGTAGCCATTATAAAATGTAAACACAACAAATTTTATTATAATATTGCAATGCTATTAATGTTGCAAATGTATAATATTGCAACGTTAGTATAACTAACACAATAAACTTAACTATCAAACTATTATTATCGTTTATTTTGCAATGCAAGGGTTTCATTGCGTTTTTTTTAAATATTTTTGTATTAAAGTTTGAGTTATCAGAAAAATTTTAGCCATGCAAACAGATAAAATGTTTCGACTTTGAACATATGGTCCGTTCAGTCAAAAGAATTCTCAGGAAATTATTAAAAACTGCAAGATTATCGTACGAGGAAGTACTTACAATTCTTGCAGAAATCGAAGTCGTTACGAATAATTGTCCGTTAACGTTTTTGTATGAACAACCGGGAGACGAACGGTTATCTCCTAATCATCTCGTGTATGGCAAAAGAATAAGCGTAGAAACATTATTAATGAAAAACAGTTATAAACATATGGACAAAAAAGTGCGTTGTATATAAGAACTCAATTTTAGAACATTTTTGGAATAGGTGGCGCAGTGAATATTTAACAGAGCTTTGAGAATTTCATAGAAGTAATAATAAATGTGGAAGTAAAAATAATATAAAGAAAGGCAATGTAAAGATAATTCAAGATGCAAATTTGGTTAGAGGATTATGGAAATTAGGCGTTATTGAAAACCTTTTACTGTCAACAGACGGACAAGTGCGTGCAGCAACTGTGCGATGTGTCTTC